AGCACACCAACAAGCCAGCTCTTTCCCGAGCCCCTGGGGACTCTTGGTAATACCCACAAATTGCACCTTCAAAATATATGGAGTAGGCATTTAATGCAAAAAGGACATATAAAGCCAGGCATCCTAGAATGGCCCCCGACAAGCGTAACTCCCTGGCAAGGTCCCTCCAGCCCTCACAGATCTGTCAGTCCTATGCTTGCTGTGAGTAGGTACTACTAGAGCTAGTTAAACCGCATGTGCAATACAGAAACCTGACCGGACTGCACCTTGTGGAAGAGAAACACGCTTAAGGGGTGTAATGAAGATGGTGTATACATTCAAGCATTTTCTACACGGCGCGGAGAGCTTCGCACGAACATGCCGTGTGTAACAGGTGAATGGAGACCCTTTTTATAAACCCAACAGCAGTGTTTAAAAATAAACTCCCATTACTTTTGCTTCACACTTAGGATTTATTCATGGGTGTATCCGTTTTTTTTTTTTTTTTCTTTTATGGGTGTGGCTCAGCAGCCCAGCGCTTGGGTGACAGCTAGAAGATGCCGGGCCTAAACCCCAGTATGGAAAGGAAATAAGAAAATCACTATCAAAAAAAAAAAAAAAAAAAAATCTCTCACGGGTCTGACCCGGACATCTTGTCTCCACCAGCATCTGTTTTACTGTTTTCCAGTTTCTCTACACAGGAAATACGCCACCAGTTTACTTCGCTTTAAAAACTCCTCCTACCTACACCAAACCGTTCTGTACAAAAAACAAAACCAAAACAAAGAAACAAAACAAAACAAAAAACACGCAAAACCCAACCCTTCTACTATCAGTGACATCAAGAGCTCTCATAGGCCCTCTGTAGTGAGGGCCCTGTTCATTCTGACAGGGTGACTGCACACGCCCGTAGCTTGCACTCAGCCATGCCTTGATCTTAGCATCTGCACGCGGTAATAAGCTGAGGGCGTTATCTTTTACAGTCATGAGTCTCACAATTGAGCCGTGGTTCTTTGAAGGTCAATGTTTGATTCATGGGCATTAGACCAACATCTCTCAATAAAGTACCACTTAAGTGCTTTTGTGCCAACCTCTGAGGTTATTAACCTCTGGGGGCTGTATCTGCTAGACACAAATCATGAAGGCTTCTGGGACAGGTTAATGGATTAAGGCAGGGCGTGTGTGTGTGTGTGTGTGTGTGTGTGTGTGTGTGTGTGTACCCTGTTATATATTCAGAAATGATAATGCAAGCATAAGGAAGTTTATGTGCCCCTAAAAATTAAAACATGTATGTTAGTAAAAGAACAAACATCCTTATTTGAACAAACATCACGTTTTCATAGCCTAAACTAGGAACAAAGATCCCTCAGAAAGCCAAACTGGCTTACCGAGGTTATGGACTCCGGCAAAGTTGCCAAGCAGTTACCATGGCAACCCAACACTGTTACCCACATCCTCAAGATTCTTCCTCATGCAAGCCCTGTGATGCTCTGACAGAGGAGGAAACGTTTTAATAATGATGCGGCTGTTTCACAAAAAGAAGAAGAAAAGGAAACCACAGTGGGCCCTACCTAGGATGTACCATGTTGACAAAAAGGCCAGATCAAATGGATTTGAAGCCTAAACCCGATTCAAGCCTCTGGCCCTGCACAGGGCCTCTCAGAGAAAGGAATTCCTTTATGTTCTTGGAAGCCCCGTGCTAGAAAAGCCATTCCATTCAGACCCGTGTGGAAACACAAACGGGGGAGAGCCTGTGTCCTCACCCCCACCCACCCCTTACGCCCCTTTTCAACATCCAGCCCGGCAGGCCTCCCTTTCCACCATGACGGTGTGTGTGTGTGTGTGTGTGTGTACTAACAGCTTACACGCATAAAATCTATCCAAGTTTTGATCTATCAGAACCGCAAGGTAGCTGGGTAGAATGTGGGAGTCACTCCAGATAAGGTGGTGCCAAAAGAACATTTTTAGCTTGAGATTTTGGGGACTGGCAGCCTGTGGCTTATCTATAGCACAGGACTCTAGCTGATCCCAAACGGGCATGGTATACGACCCTGCTACCTCAGGACAAAAAACATCTTTGATGACAGTAGAGCAGTTTTCACAAAAGAGACACACCCTGAAGGTGTGGAGTGGTAACTTTGAGGAGTGGTAACTTTAAACGCCCCCTCGCTGGGTTACAAAGATTTGTCCTTCATTTCTTCTTTCGGCTAGTGAGGGTTCCTTCCTGTCAAAAATACGTAAAAACTCACAAAGCCCCAGGTCCCTGAATTCCTACACATGGTCCTCATGTAATCAATGTCCAGATACTAAGTGAAAGTAATGTAATGGAAGGATACTGTCTGGGGTAAAACAAGGACGAGCAGGAGTCACCGTGAAAACTCTGAGAACTTTATTTTGGTAGACTTTGCTTTGTAGGCATTGGTTTACAGTAATTCTTCTCAGAAACGCTTCCTCGAAAAGATAAAGAGTAAAATAGCAAAGATTTACATCTTTGTTCATTTCAGAGATGCATAGTGATGAACCAGGAATGAGGATGTCCCTTTCTGGCAGGTCAGGGAAGCAAAGCCTCTCAGTTTCCCTCTTGCGTTCTGGAAGTGCCGGGTGAGATAGGCCAGGGACTACCACACGGTATGCTAGGTGGAGGGGAACCCCAGGTCTGTGGCCCCTCACCGGGTGTGTATCTGACCAAGACCAAGACAGGACGTTGCTTCTAAGCCGGGTCACCTCCTACCGCACCGTGGGACCCACAGGACACATGGCTGCCGCTTCCAGGCTCCCTGTCAGGGCTCCCACACGGGGTGGTGGGGGTGGGGGTGGGGGTTGATAGGTCGGCAGTTTTACATCAGGAGTAACCCCTCCTGCTCTAAAGCACAGGCAGACTGTGAGTTAGGTGGCCACATCTCAAAGTGAGGAGACTGGGAAGCTCCTTGAGACCTCAGACTACAGAGCCGGTAAACACCCTGGCATGTAGCAGGTTGGAGGCAGCCTCCTACCTCCATGTCTCCATCCTTAGAACGCTCTCTGGGATGTGGAGTTTGAAGTCTTTGGTCCATGTGAGACAAAGTCAGGTTAATGGGAAGCATCTGCTTCAAGGCTACTTTGTCTCTCGAGACAAGTGGCTGTCACGTTCGCACAGTCGAGAACACCCCTAGATGGTGTAGCTACTCCGAGGCCGACTGCCACGTCCAGACTGTCTCTGTCTGCTCTGGCAGGAGCACACTTCATTAGTTTTAACTTACAGAAAGGAAATTAAATGATAACATTTTTTTTTTCCCAAAGTAGAACTACCCAGAATAGACTTTCAGTTTAAAATAAAACAGCATGTTTTTCATTAAATAATCCCCCAAAGAAATTTGAATGTAATGATGGCAGTCCTGGGAGGCAGCGGACCTTATATTACAAAGTCTGAGAAACGAACCTTGCAACATCAGCCTGGAGATCTTCGTCCTTGATGACATTTTACAGACTCCATCTCAAGGGGCAGGCCATTTTGTAATTTTGGGGTAGTGTAGAGTTTTATTTGAGCTCGAATGAGAATTAAAAAAAAAAAAAAGACAGACCTGAACAAAATTTAGGAAAGATATACATAAAAATTCTAATTAAAGTCTTATTTACAAAAAAGAAAGAAAGAAAAGGTTTTAAAGTTACATGCCCTCAAACATAGGTAAGGTTGGTGGACTTTACCACGTCATTATTTATTTATTTGTTTGTTTATTTATTTATTTCTTCATGTGGGGTTGTCTGTGCTACCCTGAAGGTAGGTGCCTTTTCATACCGAAAACCTCATGTTTCTGGAGTTCGGCCTGACTACATAAGACCTGGATAAAGATGGCCCTGGTTTACGATGAGGGGATCTTGTTCAAAGCTAAGCATTCCATTCTGTTTCCTTTCCACTAACTGCGGTGCAAATGGCAGGAAATGGGGAGAGCAATGGGGATTGGTTCTTTAAGGCTGGGTAGTAGCGGGCACGATTCACAAACTCCACAGAGATCGGAGGCACCCGCACATCTGGGAGCAAACCCAGAAAGCCTTCCTTTCCTTTGTTCATCCATGGAGACTTTTAGCACGTCACATTTTTAACATCTTTCAAAGTCACACACCAGCACTCAGGCGCACGTGCGCACGCGGGCACACACACACACACACACACACCCTCCAGACTTCACTGTCGATATCTCTTTCTTTCATGACAATATAAAGAAATAGGGGCCAGAAAATCTGGACTTACAATACTGTGCCCCGCAACACTCCATCCTGAGTGAGGACAGTCCTGTGGGAATTCTAACAGAGCCACCACCGCCTTAAAAGCTCTAAGAGTCGTCCTTGGTGGTGTGGGCAGGAGAGCGAGCTGTTTATCTCCAACCTGGGCTGAGCGGCAGCCTCTAAGGAAGGTGACATCTTGATTTAAAAGTCTACACCTTGACACCTCTGGCCCTGGGAAGGAGTGCTCATTGCACAGGGACAAAGTAAGAAAGTCACTTCCTCCCCGAGGCCATGGCAGCCATTCAGGCTGATCACTGCAGCCGCTCTTCAGTCCGGGGTTACTGGACTTCAGGTAGCCCACCTTGATTAAGGAAACGATCAACTGCCCAGGAAGGAAGCAGAAAAGAACCGAATGCCCGGGCACCACTGTGTTCCGGGAGAGCCCTCTGGAGGCTCATAAGCAGTGGCCTCTACCTCCGCACTCTCCTGAGCTCAAGGTGTTGGTTGTTTTAGTAGCCTTCACTGCTCGGGAAATATCCCATTGCTATTTCCAACTCCCTGCCCCTCATTGTCCTAGGAAACAAAGATGGAGCCAAGCCCGCGTGGAAAAGAGCAATTCAACAGGGGCAAGGCAAAGTAAACTCCTAAGCTAAACTGAATCTTCACCTGTCAGTCCTCACCAGAGGCGGCTTCAAACACCCAATCCAAACAACCACAGATATAAAAAGACAAAACAAACCCAATCCCAGGCGGGGGGGGGGGGTGCGGGGGGGGGAGTAGGGGGTTGGGGGGAGGCAGCAGGGGGAGTTGGGGTGGGCCGGGACCCAATAACCTGAAGAGCTAACAAATGACTTGGAGAGGACACTGGCCCACGGCTCTGCATTAGATTCCCAGGCCCCAGGCAGGCAAAGCCATGTAAGCAGCCTGGTTGCTCGGGGCTTCCAGGAGCTGTTGCGGCTTGCAGCTGCAGCAGGGAAGACCCAAGCTGTCCGGGGACAGCTACTGCGCTACTGCCGTTTGGGCAGGATGAGGTTTCTCAGCATGTCAAAGGAGTTGCCATCCGGATGCACAGTCACAATCTCATCGCCCTTGTGATGCACCTGCAGGAACCCGGAATCATCAAGGCCCACAATCGACACCTGCGGCCCCTCGGAGCTGCCCAGGTGGACTCGCTGGCCACTGAAAAGGGAACACAGCAACACTGGGGTCACAGGAGGCTGGGACACAGACAGAGCCCAGTGGCCATTCCTTACAAGGGACCGGGGTCCTGGGGTCAGGCCGTGGCTCTTTATAGCGGCCTCTGACCTTCTCTGTCTTGGTACCTACTCAAGCAGCCACAGTGGTGGGCTACCACATCACACTAATTGTGATCCTATTGCTGGGGATTTGTGTCCCTTCTTGCCCCAGACACTCTGTGCAAAAATAAAGGAGGGGAGGGGAGGCAATGGGGCCCAGCGAATATGACCAAATTTATATTGTAAACATGTCCGAAATGCCATGACAAAAATCCACTATTTTTTTCCAAATCAATATATGCTAATTAAAATAAAGAAAAGAAAAACATTATATAGGACAGGCCAGTTGGGCTGGCTCGGTAGGTGGGGCACTTTGCCCCACAACCCCGGGGACGAGGTTTCAATCCTTGGAACCCATGTAAAGGAGGGACGGGAGATCTACCGCCAGGACGCGGCCCCACCCCCTCTTAGGTTTGAGGACACTGGCGTTCAGGAAGAGTAGAGGCTTGTCTTACACACTCGTGGCTCCCACACCTGAGCTGAAGGAGGATGCCAGGAGCATTTGTTAGCATGCGGGGCTGCCTCAGCCCCAGAGCACAGACTTAGGAGACCCTAGGTACATGGGGATCTCACTTGGAGATCTAGAAGGTTCTACCCCTTAGATGTGTCTGAATAGCACCTCATAGTCCACACTAAACTGTTTCTATGTTCTCTGTCATGTCCTTCCCCAGGGTATCCTCCAGGGTGCTGGCCCTCATGTCTGGCTAGGCCGAGTCACTGGGCTTTCCTACCGGAGTTCAAAAATAGCCACCCAGACCCAAGAAGTGGAGTACTAACTTCAGGGAATTTAAAAGAAAGAAGGATGGGTACTGACCTGTGCAGCCAGTATTTATAATAGAGAGGAAGGACACCATTGGGCCCTCGGTCCTGAAATGTGTCAATCAGTTCTTCCAGAACAGTTACTGCCCTGGCTATGAGTTGATCGGCCCGTAAGGGCTTCAGGTCTGTCTTGTGTTGCTTATTGTGTTCTGCGATGAGGTCGTTGATACATATAGTAGGGTTACTGTTAGTCACATTAAATCCACAGCCTGGACAAACACAACAAACAAAAAAGCACCGTGGCATTAACCAGCAGGACCTCAGCCTTCCTACAGTGGCAAAAGCTCGGTGACCCCCAACCATAAAATTATTTTTGTTGCTACTTCATAACCGTAATTTTGCTACTGTTATGAATCATAACATAGATATCTGATATGCAGGATAAATGATATGCAATCCTCAAAAGGGTCTTGATCCACAGGGTGAGAACCACTGTTCTAGATAATGGTGCAAATTCTCCCGGCATTTACAATGTAAAAGTCCGAGGGAGAATAATGGTATCAATTACCCTCAGCTTGGGCTATGTATTTCTAGAAGCTAGGACATTTTGTTGCACATCCTGAAACACCGCCCTCTTGGCTCTCCAGCCTCCCAAAGCTGTAAGAATGTAACCAAGCCACACGTTTTGCTTCTACAGCCTCCAGACACCATCAGTTAGCATCCCGGAGCAGTCCTCTGGAACAGTGGCTGCCACTTAGCATCTGCATACAATATAACTACATGCAATATAATGGGAAGCGGAGCTTTAGAAGTATGAACCCGCTTGCCTAGAAGAACGCTACCAGTTGGTGGCAGAATTAGAAACTCGAGCCTTGTATTCTTTGACACCCTAGATGGGATCACATGTTTCTGTGGGCTGCTGATTTGTGAGTGACAAGTGAGCTCTACTGGGAATTAGAGGGGATTGGTGGTTGGACGGTCTGGGTTCTAAGAACTTCTGAAACGGCCGTGGAGCCTCCTCTTCCTGGGTGTGCTAAGGCGAAGTGGGCTACCTTGACTAGCTTGAGGATTTTTGTTTTTTCATGGCTAAGAATGCAGGGCTGGCAGCAAAAGTGTCTTAGCTATTGTCAGTTTGACTTCTGCTACTGGAATAAACACCCCAACAGAAAAAGCAGAGGACAGTGCTGCTCATCCTGGGCTGCGTCTCCCTGCGTCATCAACATAATCACAATTCCCCCTGAAGATGCCCACCAATCAGATCTGGACGGTCCCTCACCCAGACCCTTTCCAGCCGGTTCCACACTGTGTCAAGCTGATAGTTAAGTTAACCACCGCAGACATTTAACTTACTGCTTAGTATAAAATGTAATTATTATAAAATATTGTTTCCAGCATTTCAAGTTCCATGAGCAGAGCTATGGAAAGACATCTGTGATGTGTGATACCAATTTGGCATTTCCACGGCCCCAGACAGGAACTGCTAAGCCCTTGAAGTATTCTCGACTCATCTGGTCCTCTGCAAATCCATGTCACACTCCATAACTTAAGACTAAAGACATCATCTCACAACGCCATCCGCTCTTTCAGGTAGATGCGTGCGTCAGGCATTTTGACTTTGTTGTTTTGTTAGGATGAAAAGTGCTGGAAGGAAGGGCTTTAAGAACTCACCGATGAGGATGTAGAACGTTTCTCCCATGAGAGTGGAATTAACCAGAACTCCACCAATCTTCATGAGGTCACTGTAATAAATATCGTTGGGCCACTTCACTCGCAAGTTGATGTCCTAAAAGAAATTCTGCATGTTAACTAAGCCATGAGCCCCAGAGCAGCCAGCAAGGGGATGAGAGACGAACAGAAAACTCAGGAAAGTAAAGGTCCTCTCTCCTGCTCCAAGTTGATCACTTCGTGGGGGTGAAATACGGTATTTTTTTTAAAACATATGTTATGTGCATGGGTGTTTTGCCTGTATGCATGTCTATGCACTGGGCAGGCCCTGTTCCAGAAGAGGGTGTCAGGGTTTACACATAGTTGTGAGCTGCCATGTGGATGCTGGGAATCAAACCCCGGTCCCCCCTGGAAGAGCAGCCGTTGCTCCCAATCCCTGAGCCATCACTGCAGCCCTCGGGCAGCCAGCACGGTATTCAAACTCTCACTGGAGCTAGAAGGTAAAATACTGACCGAGGACTGTCCCTCCCAACTCAGCACTCCCAGATACTCCCATCACTGTCTGTCACTATTCAAACCTCTTTTGCACAGCTGTCCCTGAGGCTCAGGCAGGAGGATTGCAAATTCGAGGCCCACCTGGAAAACATAACAAGTTCAAGGCCGGCCTGGGCAACTTAGTGAGACTTTCTCAAAATGAAACTTGAGAAAGTGGGCTGGGGGCATTAGCTCAGTGTAGCGCTCTGGCCGCGTAGGGATGCCTTAGGCGCAGTCTGCAGTGTACAAACAAACAAACAAACTCCCCAAACAAAACAACAGAGAGAGCAAAGCACCCGATGTCCGCAGGTGTCTCTTAAATCTAGTTTGTTAACATCCGGGAGCTCACTCAAGGACTCTTCTGTCTGTCCTGACTACGGAAGGGATCCTGTTCTACGGGAGACACAGGGGACAGCCTGGCTGAGTGCTGCTGGCCTTCTGTGAGAGAGCTGGGGTGCTGGTCCCCTCTTCTCATGCTCAGGGCAGTCCCAGTGACCAAGATGTGAGCATCACTAAGGCTGACAGACCAGTCTCCAAAACCTGGATCTGTGGTCACGGCCCTTCTCCCAAGGCTTACACTCTTCTAGTGCTCACCTGTGCTCCGGTGCTCACCCTCCTCCCACCCATGCTCAGTGCTCACCCTCCTCCCACCCGTGTTCAGTGCTCACCCTCCTCCCACCCGTGCTCAGTGCTCACCCTCCTCCCACCCGTGCTCAGTGCTCACCCTCCTCCCACCCGTGCTCAGTGCTCACCCTCCTCCCACCCGTGCTCCAGTGCTCACCCTCCTCCCACCTGTGCTCACCATCCTCCCACCCGTGCTCAGTGCTCACCCTCCTCCCACCCGTGCTCACCCTCCTCCCACCCGTGCTCACCATCCTCCCACTCGTGCTCCGGTGCTCACCCTCCTCCCACCTGTGCTCACCGTCCTCCCACCTGTGCTCAGTGCTCACCCTCCTCCCACCCGTGCTCACCCTCCCTCCCACCCATGCTCAGTGCTCACCCCTCCCTCCCACCCGTGCTCCAGTGCTCACCCATGCTCAGTGCTCACCCTCCTCCCACCTGTGCTCACCCTCCTCCCACCCGTGCTCAGTGCTCACCCTCCTCCCACCTGTGCTCACCCTCCTCCCACCCGTGCTCCAGTGCTCACCCATGCTCAGTGCTCACCCTCCTCCCACCTGTGCTCAGTGCTCACCCTCCTCCCACCCGTGCTCAGAGCTCACCCTCCTCCCACCCGTGCTCACCCTCCTCCCACTCGTGCTCCGGTGCTCACCCTCCTCCCACCTGTGCTCAGTGCTCACCCTCCTCCCACCCGTGCTCAGAGCTCACCCTCCTCCCACCCGTGCTCACCCTCCTCCCACTCGTGCTCCGGTGCTCACCCTCCTCCCACCCGTGCTCAGTGCTCACCCTCCTCCCACCCGTGTTCAGTGCTCACCCTCCTCCCACCCGTGCTCAGTGCTCACCCTCCTCCCACCCGTGCTCCCCTTATGGTGACAGCAATGAGATCAAGTCCCCATCCCCCATGTTCAGGGCTTGGGCCAGGACTCTGCATGTGGCAGTGGCTTCCTTCTGAGCCGGCCCTGTGCTCCAGCCCTGGCCTGACTTTGTTTTTTTTTTTTTTTGTTCTTGTTCAGGAACGAAGCAACAACTTATACAACTCCTGGGTACAACTCCTTCAAGCAAACAAGAACATCTACGTAGCCCAAGGTGAAAAGTGAGGCTATGAACTGCTTTTCTCTTTCCTTGATGACCCGCTGAGTGAATGAGTATTATTATTACTTTTGTTTTTTGAGTGCATGGTTTTGAAACAGGCCTTCATGTAGCCCAGGCTGCCCTCAAATTCTGTATGTAGCCAAGGATGACTCTGGGGTTCTGATTCTCCTTCCTCCAACTCCCAGAGCTGGGATTATAGGTGTGAGCGACCACACCGTTTATACACCAGTGTTGGGGACAGAACCCAGGGCAAGCACTCTACCAGCTGAGTTACACTCCATCCTTGATCCGGTGACTTCCTTATGTGTAACGTTCTACAGCCCACACAGACCTAAGTAAAACAAACACTGCCTTCATATTTCTGGGAACTCATGGGTGAGGGAACAGGATCCTCTCTCTCTCTCTCTCTCTCTCTCTGTCTCTCTCTCTCAGAAACATGAAGTCTGTGCCTTTGCCTACAGGAAGGAAGCAGGAGAAAAGTGGGGTGGGGGAGGGCTGTGGGAGTCCAGCAGAGGACAGGGACAGAAGCCACAGCGAGCAGAAGCAGGCAGTCTGGGACTGCAGAGGAGGACACATCCCAGTGACACTGAGTTAGTCTGGTTTGCTCGCGACATCCAACTACAGACAAGCTGTCACCCCACACAACGGGCAGGACGGAGGCCGTTTCAGCCGTCCAGTGGCGGTCCTGGGTGGGTCAACTCGGCTGCCTCAAAACTAACTGCAGCCGTGGAGGTCACACAGGCCCAGGAAAATGAGCCTCAGATGTCCTGTCTCGTGTGTGGACCCTAGCTGCGGCTCTTTAGTTTTGTGTGTTTAACCTGAAGCACCCGAGGAGGCTAGGAACTTACAAAGTGGGGGTACACGGAAGGAGAGGACAGCAGAACGAGGTAAACGGGAATTAAGAGCCATACTATAGGGTTTAAGCGGCGAGGGAGATGGGGGGAGGGGTTGGGAGTGAAAACTCTCTGGGGAGAACTAATCCAAATGAAGAAGATATATGGCGACCTCCCTTCCAGTTACTGGTCAGGGGGCTGCCAAGGACCCCCAGACAACAGAGATCATTGCCACTTACCCTTGGGTGCCCACAATTACTAACCCATAAGGCCCTGTACTGAAGCCATCACGCACAGTGATAAAGCAATCCTGAACTGACGGGGAACTTTCTCCTGCCGCACAGATTTCTTAGTGCCAGGTATTATGTAGGCTAAAGGAACGGAAACGGCATCCGTGGTCTTATTCGGGGCTGCACCCCGAGTCTTGTAATTTCCTACCTGCCAGACAAGATATACTCATCTGTGCAATAGAGCAATGACTGTCCTGGGAATTCATGGCGGACACTGTAAACCTGACCAATGGCCACCTAGCTATTCATGTCTACACCCATAGATCTGGGTCGTTCTCAACCTTGGTCAGAGATGTTTCTTTCTGTAGAAGGCAGTGGTTACTATAACACGGAAACTCACAACTGGCCAAAATACAAAGGATGAGTGATCACAAGTGCTTAGCCCGAAACAGGCACCTGTGAGGTAAGAAACCCCCTTCTTTCTCCAGGCTCAGAGAACATCAAGTAAGACTCTAAGAGCCAGAGGACGGGAGGACTTCTGCGGAACGCTGTCCTCTGTGGTAAAAGCCCCGTGCAAGGCTGAACCGGCCGAAGTTCCAGTATGGAAGGGAAAAGGAATCACCTAGCTGGGGAGCTGTGACAGCGGATGGATGCCGGAGGAGGGAGAATCATTCTCTTTCAGGGGCGTGGCCACCAGTAGGTTGTCCATCTTCCACTGGATGGTGCCACACCCACGCACATACATGGAACACTGCCGGACTTAGCGTGTTATAAAAACAGTAAGAGGGAAGGAAGCTGGGAAGGGATGTGTTAGGGGACGGTCGGGGGAGGGGAGCTGAAGGCATGAAGTAGGCAGGGTGGTCATGATCAGAATACATTGCATAAAGGTAAAGTAAATTTAAAAACTTAAGGTCCAAGGGTGAGGCGCCAGTAAGGATGCCAGTGATGGCTGTATTTTGTCACCATGGAGCAAGCTTCCCCGGCCAGACTGTGACCCTGCCTCCCCCATGCTACCTCTGGACACTGCAGGGGCTCAGAGAAGGTACCACACTAACCAGTGAGACAGCCAGGTAAACGTCAAAGCTGTGGCAAGGGGATCAGTCTCTCTCTGTGTTCTAGATTCAGGGTTTGGTTGCTGCAGACTGACTATCTTCCCACAAGGGTTAAATGTGCCTGGCCCTACATCAAAGAGTTACATTCTCAGCCTCCTACGAGACCAAGGGCACGGCTCAGATATCTTGAAGGTCTGCGATGCTCTGATGAGCCGGGGACTCATCACACAGTCACGGACATCCACGCTGGTCCATGACCTGAGCTTGTAGATGAAGGTGGACCTCAGAACTAGCAGGACTAATGGGACAGTAAAGACACCAGCCACATGGGAGGAAACGGAGCTGCGGAGGACTCAGGCACCTTTATGAGCTGTGTTTCTGGAATCTCAGTTAAGGAACCACTATGGCCCTTAAAAAGCAAATAAAAACCCTTGACACAAGAACTAATGGTAGAAGGAAGGCAAAGAGCCCCTCTCTGTATGGCCACATGGAGCCGGCCCAGGGTTGTCTCAGGTACACATGGACATGCAGACAGGTGTGGGAGAAGCTCCTGTCACTCAATTCACCATTCTCTTCCCATTTAAGAACAGACACTACAGTAGTGTTATGGGACTGACATATTTGAAAAGCTTGTGGAGGCTTTAGGTTGTACAGACTTGTCACCGGGGGCTTTGAAGCAAAGAGCCTTGCCTACTTCCCGTTTGCTCTCCCCTCTCCCTGATTGTGGACTCTAGCCCCCCTGAAACCAAAACCCAGGGCAAACATCTTCCTCTGTACGTCGCCTTGGTCACAGTGTTCCATGATAGCAGCAAAGCCACTAATAGAGAGAAGTGGGTACCAGGAGTGGGGTTGAACTCAGGTAAGGATGCCAGCACATCTGACCGTGCAGTGGGGGTTAGGCAGGGCCACATGAGCCCGGCCTTGACCTCCATGAACCACAGACAAAGAGCAGCTCTGATGAGTGGAGAGTAAGGGGAGGTGGGAAGAAGTCATTTAGGCCCACACAACAGCCGCTTTTAAGAACTGAAAATGCAGAGAGCTTCTATCCAGTCCCGATAGACTGCTTTCATTAAAAGAAACAGAAATCTGAGCAAAGGGGTCAAGACCATGCTGGGGAAATCCTCAGGAGCAGCTGACCTGAGCAAATGGGAGCTCATGGACCCCAGCCTGACAGCTGAGGAGCCAGCATAGGACTGAACCAGGGCCCCTGAACGTGGGTGACAGTTGGGAGGCCTGGGCAGTCTACGGGGCCTCTGGCAGTGGATCAGTATTTATCCCTCGTGCATGGACTTTGGAGCCCATTCCCTATGGAAGTATATTCTCTTGGCCTAGATAAACGGGAGGGGGGGCACTAGGCCCTGCCCCAAATGATGTGACAGACTTTGATGATTCCTCATGGGAGGCCTCACCCTCCCTGAGGAGTGGGTAGGGAGTGGGATGGGGGGGTGATGAGGGGAATGGGAGTATGGGAGGGAGAAGGAACTGGGATTGGTATATGAAATAAGATGGTTTCTAATTTAAATAAGAAGAGCTTGCTCTTACTGGGACCCCGAGAAACTTGACGAGTAGCCCTGAGTGATTCTGGGGAATGCTCCATGTCAGCCAAGCACTCTACCCCTGGGCTAAGGCCCCAGGCAGAACTACGCGCTATACCGTACCCCCGCACTTCGGTAACACACGCTTTGTGAAGGGCACTGTCAAATATGCAAACGCAGCTGTAAATAAATGGAAAAGGCTGAGCTGAAGGCTCACAGGAAGGAGAGGACGAAGACTTGACACATACCTCATACTCTGGGATGGACCGCACCGCCTCCACGACAGCCAGGGACATCAAATGCTGGACAAATGGGATCCTCTGTCCCAGTTGTGACCTCAGGGGAATGGAGACCAGCAGAGTGAAAAGGGCACACCCCACAGGGCTCAGCCAGGCATTTGGGCCCCGTCCTGGAAGAGAGACCCATTGAGAGAAAACCGCATGCAGACAGGCACTCCCAGACAACAATGTCTCAAAGCCACACACACTCACCCACGTGAGTCTATTTGTGCTCAGTGACACACGTTGATATATATGGTGGGCTTAACTCAACAGAAGAAAGATGGGATGCTTTTACAGATTCCAACAGACCCTTATGGGGGACCCCGAGGAGATTAAATGTCTTAGAACTGTTTCCATCACAATCTCCAGGAAGTATGGGGACGTAGGTTACCAGGTGTGACGGCCATCAGATGCGAACCTTGCATGATTAACAAACTGTGGACGGGGAGGTCGCTTGTGTTCTACCAAGGCCCAATCGGTCTCTCCTGCCCCAGTACTATTAAAATGGAAAGACTCTAACTCAAGACATCTCAGGGTTCATCACACACGCGCTCTCCAGTCAGGAAACTCACAGATTTTCGATGACTGACCTTTGCCCTGGGTCTGCCGAACAGCAATGGCGATTAAACCCATTTCCTGTGGCATCTCAAACATCAACCTGCAAACGGTGGGAAAAACTGGTCAGTCAGAACGGGCACACAGAGGAGAGTAAACAGCTCGGACAGAAGAGGGAGGAGTATGTGCGTATGCACGGTGGCCTGGAAGGGCCCAGGGATCTGCACAGCTGTAAAGAGGGAGGGTATCGCTTTCCTTCAGCCTCCGGTGTGGACCAGTGCAAGGGTGAAGAAGAAAATACTACCAAAGGGCAAGCGAGGGGGAAGGGTTAGGGCAACGTGCCTGGCTGGTGTCCAACCTGACTGCATCTGGGTAGAAGTTTCCCTTACATCATATCTGCCTTCAAGTGACAACAGCAATCCCTGACATTTGTTTCTACTTAGAGTGAGTTTCGGTTCGAACGCGCACACGTTTCTGATTAATCAGAAAACCAATATGCCAGCAGTAAAGCGTTTAAGAGATATCCATCCCCTGAGAACTAATTATGCTTTAACTGTAGTAAATAAATCGACACCTTTTGAGAATTCCCAAGAACCCTGGACCCATTCGGGCTTCAGTTCCGCTTTTAAAGTGGTTTCACTGAAGAACACCAACTTCTTCTGGGGGAAGTGTACTTACGTACACCTCTACCTGGCTGGCCCATATTAGTCTCAGAAGAAAAGGGAAATGCTCGCACACACAACCACGCCCTTCACTCCGTTTCCTCCAGGTTACGTTCTCTGCATTTTATTTCCGTATTAGGACACGTCTCCCCCCTTCCCGGACGGAGCAGACGCAGTTCAGAGGAGGAGGTATTAATGGGCAAAGCCAAGCCAGGCCTCTGTCAGGGTGGTGGAGACGTCACCTTCAGTTCTATCATAATCTGTCTGTCCATCTATCCATCCATCATCTATTCTATCTACCATCTACCTATCATCTATCTATCACCTGTCCTATCTGTCTGTCTGTCTATCCGTCTATCTGTCCACCTATCATCTATTCTATCTTTCTATGTGTGTATGTATCTACCATCTAACTCACTCATTCTATCTATGTATCTATCATCAATGCATATGTGTATGTATGTATCTATGTGTGTGTATGTATGCATCTGTGTGTGTGCATGTATCTATCATCTAACTCTATCATTTATCTATCTCTGCATGTATGTATATATGCATCTATGTGTATGTATGTACCTATAATCTAACTTACCTGTCTATGCATCTTTGTGTGTATGTACCTATCTATCATCTACATCTATTTTTGATCTATCTACCTACCCACCTATCATCTATCTATCACCTGTGGGAACAGAGAGGTTAAGCAGGGCAGAGGGCATATTTTGTATTAACAAGAAATTACAGGTGAGTTACAAGTGCCCCTCTGTAGTGAGATAGTCCTTCTGTAGCACTGACCACGCCCATTGGGGGGTGGAGCCATGGGCGGAAGTGACCTGTGGAAGGAGGTCAGAGGGGGCCAGGAAAGGCTCTCTCTTTCTGGTGTGACTCGGACAGGAGAGGATCGGGTTGAATTTCCTGGTGTTCATCTGTCTAGGTTGTAAGTTATTTCTCCCTGAATAAACATCTATTCGGCCTATTTGTTTATCCTGATCCTTATTTACCGCAATACCCCTCCTCGCTCTTACAAGAAGACAGAGGCTTTGAAGTAGCGATTCTCAACCTGTGAATGGCCCTTCCACAGGGGTTGCCTGAGACCACTGGAAAACAGATATTTAATTATGAATCAGCAATGAAAACAATCTTATGGTGGAGTTCACCACAACACAAGGGACTGTATTAAAGGGTCACAGCACTGGGAAGGTTGAGAACCGCTGCTGTAAAGCAGTGCCCTGAGTAGATCCCCACCCTGTCCCGCAGGCTAAAGGAACCCTAGGAGAGGAAAACTGCTTAAAACAATACGCATGCCCTGTTTCCTGCATCTCTAAGGTGGGCAGCAGCTGCTTGGGGGCAGAAGCGAAGGATGCTTTGCATAAAGGGGACGGCGGGCTATGTTGGGCAGGGTCTGGCTGGTGTGACAGTGGGGTCTTCCTTGTAGCTGCGAGAGCAGAACACAGCACTTGGAGGAAACCCAACCCGTGCCAGCGCACACCGACACATCCCTGCAGTATTTCCCTCAGATACTAAGAACAACCCACTGAGGCGGAGCACGCCTCTCCACCCCCGGGCATCAAAAATAAAATGTCCTGTGCTTGTGCTGGACAAACGAAACTCCCAAGAAGGGTTCTTTGTCCCATGGCAGAGTTAACACTGACTTTCAGGAATCCCTGCTTTCTAGAAGGTTCCATGCCTGATGCCCAGACTCCTGGGGTGAATGAGGGACAAGGAGGACGTAACGTAGGACTCTGTGAGCAGACTGCAGAAGCTCCCTCCCTGGATGGCGGGCAATCCAGAATGTTCTTTAAGCATGTTGTGGACAGTAGACGCTCACATGCTACACACGGCCGGCGATGGAGAGGGGTGGGGTCGTCAGCGGCTCAGAAACCAAACACAGATTTCCAGAACAAAGAGAAGCGATTAAGGGAGCATACGCAGAAACTGCTAGAGGCTTGGCAGCACATTATTGCGCAGAGTGAGTCTGTGCTGCTGAGGCCAAGGGGAAATTCTGTGGGGGAGACAACAGAGTAGGAGCTAATGACTGTTGGAGACAACTGGAGGCCGCCAGATTTACTTGTGCTATATGAGATAACTCTGGGGGCCAAGCCGCACCGCTCATGGTCGACAAGGAAGCATTTATGAACTTGGTCGATGCCACATTTCTGAAAAATGAAGCTGTTTGCAGACTGCTTAGAGAAAAAGCAACCGTGGATGCATTTCATTCTTCCTTGATGCCCCGAAGAGGGGAAGACCGGGGTGGCGTGGGGTTTGCATAATCTTCACCTCCCAGCTGCTGTGTTTTATTTTGTGGCTGGCAAAGCTATGAACTAAAAGGTTAGGGCTGTATAAACTCACGGTTGTAGCAAAGGGGCACGGGAGGAAAGCCCTGTTTGTGCGGAGTCTGAAACTTCCTGAGCCCCGTAAACCCCCACACGGAGTGCTCGGGTACAGAGGGTGTCATGGTACCCAAGACTGCCCTGCCTTTCACACGGCCAATAAGATAAAGTTTCGCTAGCCATACAAACTGAAACAAACTCAGAGGATGGGCCAGGAGGAACTAGCAATAACAGAATGAACAAAAGTTTAAACTGGGTAGCAGCCCATCCTCTGTGGGGATCGGAGACAGCCACACTCACCAGTTAGCAAAGCCACAAACTGGGAAAGGCCTAACTGTATAAGAGCAACAGTGGGCTGAACAGAGCAATAGAACAATCAGTAGTCAGTAAAATGCCAGCTCTGACACAGAACACAGCAGATGCGCCGGCTGTGAACTGCTCGCTCCACAGCTCAACCCAAAGGTATCATGGACGTGTCCAACCTATGGGAAGTTCCGAGGAAAGGAAGCAGAGATGGCGGCCACTACGGTGGTTTCCGTCATTCCCTTAAATCTTTGCCTGAGGTACAGAACCAAGAGTGTGACTACAAATCCTTTGTTTGTCCTTTTATCCCTCATCCAGTGTCATCACTCTGCCTGGGTCAGGGTTAACCGCACTTGCAATTCACTTCCTTCCAATCACAGTTGGCGCCCACCCCCACCCCAGTGCTGACGGCACACGGCTGACGTCACCGCTGACGTCACGCTTAGAGCCCACCCCCACCCCAGTGCTGACATCACACTGTTGCGGGTATCAAGCACATTTTAAGGTCTAACAAGCCCAGTCCTCCTCACTGCTCTTTTTTTGGGCAATATTTCTCCACACCTCTTCAGATATTGAGAGTTTTTGTTTGTTTGTTTGTTTTGGATTAAATACACTTTCTAAATGAAATTGAGAACTGAAATGTTTGTGAAGCCAAGCTACCCTGTGAGCAAGGAGATCATGTTGTTCAAATACACTGCTTTAGCAATTCTATTCCAGCCCCTTGTCACTGTAAATACACGTTAGACTATCACTTTACCGTAATTACGCACTTTAAAATAAGTTGATTTCTTTAGGCTAATTTTGTATCCTGCCCCCTTACTGAATCCTCTCATTGCTTAAGTTAGAGACGTATCACTTCTCTAAGATTTCGCATGCAAGCTATCATTTTACCGGCAAACACACATTTTTACTTACGGGGCCTGTGACCTCAATATGGCAGGGTTCCAACAGCTAGCTCGCCAACAATGACGCCTCATACATGCTTGCATACACATGGACTACTGAGCCATGGGAAGGGATAGCTTCAACTATGAATAAAGAGGTCACTTTAGACCTTTACAATAGCCTGGACAGCATACAATTCTAGGATGTCTTTTACTGCACCAACCCTTGAATGTCCCAACAACTGTCCCGGTAGGCAATACCACGTGGTCATATTTTACGGCTGAGGAAGTGGAGGTCTGGGGCTCCGGAACATTACAGAGCAAGGTCACCCCATTCACTACAGAAGACCTGCTGTTTTGTTTTGGGGTGGTGATATGCAACCCAGGCTGGCCTTGGATTTGAGATCCTCCTGCCTCAGCTTCTCACCTCAAGTTTCATGAGTAAGACAGAAAGGCAGGAATACTATTAGTCTCATAAATGCATCTGTGTACGTTTAACAGTCCTGGGGAGTTCTAAGGTGTTGTTTTGTTTCTGGAAAGTTCTGTACACTTATTCCTAAACTTGAGAAAAGGACTTTAAAAAAAATAACTGAAATAAAATCTTGTAATTTCAAAAATTAAATGCTACCAAATTTGTGATGACGTTCACTTTCTTCTCCCTATGTGCCCAGAAGTTATTTTCCCACTTTGTACTAATTCTGTTTTGTGTTTGTTAGTTTGTTTTCCTTTGTTTCCCTTCCCCTCGTCCTTCTCTAACTTTAAAGACAGGGGCTCACGTGTAGCCCAGATTGGCTGCAAACTTTCTGTGTAGCTGAAGATAGCCTTGAACTGCTCATAGCCCTGAGTCTTGGGACTACAGTGTGTAGGACCACACTTGAGTTATGTTATTGAGGGTTATACCCAGGACTTTGTGATGCAAGGCAA